AAATTTGTGCTTATATATTTGGAAAGCACTTCTTCTTGGGAAAGAATCTTTTTTATAATGAGCCTTCTTGAGCCAGTTAACATCTTTATGCAAACCTTTCTGTCTGCCTCACCATGACTTCCACTTTCCCAACACATTCCAGAGAGTAGTCCACTCCTCCATTAGTCATCTCAGACAGCACTTGACTGATTGGTTTACTGTGATCCTTGGGGTTCACAAAGTCAGTTGCACCGAACACCTTGGCCTTCTCATACTTCTCTGGATTGATGTCAACAGCGATGATCCTCTTGGCTCCTGCAGCCTTGCAGCCCATGACTGCAGCCAAACCCACAGCTCCCAGGCCGAACACAGCACATGTTGAGCCTGGTTCCACCTAAAGTGTAACAGACTGTGGTCAACATTGCTCTTCAGGTGAGACTTGTTAAGGCTCCATAATAAATAATGGACAGGCTTAGTGTTCCATGATGGGTGTTTACTCTTTGAGAGGCTTTCCAGTTTGAGCAAGAATTTTAAAACAAAAGTCTTTTATGTCATAAAAATAGCCCCTTAACACAAATTTCTCATTTTGTTGTTTGAGTCTAAAATAATGACAAACACACCTTAGCAGTATTAATTGCTGCTCCATATCCTGTGCAGATCCCACAGCCGAGCAGACAGACTTTGTCCAGAGGGGCAGCGGGGTCGATCTTAGCCACAGCCATCTGGTTAACCACAGTGTACTCAGAGAAGGTACTGGTTCCCATAAATGGCAGCACCTTCTTTCCCTTACAGGTTAACCTGCAGTTTGGGTCTGCCATCACATCATGGCGATCAGAGAACCTGAACAGAGAATTGAGTGAAATGGAAATACAACATGAGCCTCAATTTTTGCTTTGAAAACTTTCCAGTAAAGGGTGCAACAAAATTTCTTTAACATGAGCAAAATATGCCAAATAATGAAAAACCAAAGACCCAAATAATCTGTTCTGTGTCATTATCAGACAACGCATAAAGGTGCTCCAGTGAATGTAAACAATGTTCCTTTCCCCCCTTAGATGGGCTTATCACCCTATGAATACACCCTGGATAACCGAAATAAGGAGATGAAAAGACAAAACGGAGCTCACCATCCTTTATCACAAATGTTAGTTTTGGGACTCTTACAGAAGCGGCATTCTCTACACTGGTAGATGAACAAAGGAATCACCTTGTCTCCTGAAAGAGAAGAACAATGCTGCCATGTCAGCTTGCAAACAACAAATCAAATATCAGACAGTTTGGTTGGGCTGGATTGGCACAAATAGGCCTTGGTCTACTCATTGCTAGCATTGCTGCCACAGAATCTGACAGGGAAAAGAAAAAAAACTAACTAACTAACTAACTATTAGACAAATTAAACTGTTGAGGTTGTTAGCTTTAACCTGGTTGAAATTAGGTGACTCCAGGCCCAACACTCTCTACAATGCCAGCTCCCTCGTGGCCAAGGACTGTTGGGAAGCCGTCTTTAGGCATGTCCTCAAGCAAATGATACAGGTCCGTGTGGCACACTGTGGTTGTCACAATCTGGACAGAAGACAACAATCTCATACTGAAAATACTGTTGCTTGTTTCTTTTGAACAGTTGTGCGAAGTGTGAAGTGTTGTGCAGTAACACCTTACTAATCATAACATTACAATAAGTAAGTAAGTAAGTGTAGTGGAGCACATAATGTACACCAAGGGCTGTCCTGGGGTGAAGAACACAAAGACAGTTTGTGGGGTAACAAAAATAAAAAATATTTCCTAATTACCACATCTGCAAATAAAACCCTCAAACCTTGGCACACTAATTTGACTTCAGTGGTATTCCATCACAAATCAGTCACTTACTGACCTCAACCCTTCAAAGCCACAGTGTGTAGGAATTTCTCCCATCTAACATTGAAATCATATATTGTATTCAAACAGATGGCGCACTCTAGCGCCTCACTGTTTCAAACACGTATTGCAACAACTGTAGCCGCTGTGTACCAAAAAGCTATGATAACACTGATGAAACCATGTCATCCGATACTACATGGAGTATTCATTCAGGCTCCTACACAGACACACGCGACGCGAGTTGACAAACCCCCTCCTCACCATGCTGGCTGTGTTTACAACATAGGACTGTTGGGGCGGATGTAAATTGAAACAAACCAATCACGTCTTGTCCTTTGACAACTGACAAGTGGCTCAACCTCACACACCTCATCCCTCTCCTCGCATTACTGCGCCGCTAACAGCTGTTAGTGGCCAGTGGCACTACTGCCGCATAACAAAGTCCCACTCTTTGAGCATAATGCAGGATCATGCATATGCAGCATCACGGGAGACGGAATCCTTGTCGCCAAGAAAGTGCAAAAGGGAATCAAAAAGGCAGCGTGACCGGCGAATTAAAAAAACAAGGGTCAGCACTGGGGTTGCCTTTCCCAGGTGGAGAAAGCTGCTGAAGGAGAAAGGTAATACAGTCACAGGCCAGCGCTAACAGCGGCTAACAGCCTCATCCCTCTCCTCGCATCACTGCGCCGCTGTTAGCCGCTGTTAGCGCTGGCCTGTGATTGCATTACCATTCTCCCTCAGCAGCTCTCTCTACCTGGGAAAGGCTACCCCGATGTGGGCCTTCATTTTTTTAATTTGCTGGTCACGCTGCCTTTTCTATTCCCTTTTGCGCTTTCTTGGCGACAAGGATTCCGTCTCCCATGATGCTGCATGATCCTGCATTATGCTCAAAGAGTGGGACTTTGTTTCAAATTTGCCAGGGTAGTAGCGAAGCGCCTCTTGCTCCTCTCCTTCGGCTCCTCAGTCACACAGTGCTGGCCTGGCTCTCAACGAAAGCGCCGAAGGCGGTGCTGTATGTCCCTTGCTGGCAGGTGTATTCTCAAGATGGCGAAACGTAATGGAACCCCACAGACGACTTACCCGCACAATGTACAAACAAATCTGAAATTCTCCTTTTACGAGAATAAGTCAGATTATTGGTGGAGGTAATAGTACACCAGTGATGACATATTTATGAATGCAGACATCAATTTTTGCCAATAAACAACTGAAAATGTTACACAGTGTCTCTTTAAATTTGAATGATTTTTCCCAGTTGACCAATATTAGACGGTATTAGAATGGGCTTTGATTAATCACAATCCAATTATTCAGGAAACACAGGCCCTCAAAGTTGACCCATACTAGCCCACATATAAAGACACAAATCGTAAAGAAATAACAGTATCAGAAAGCTTAAAAACAAGTTTATTCAAAATTTCAATACTTTTAGTCAAAAATAAATAAATATGCAAATAAGGTGTTTTTTAATCATTAACTGTTTGTATATATTTTTCAACTATAGTTTCTAATATTTTCAATTTCTAATATATTTACTTATAATTATGCATAGACACTTACCCATCCCTGTTTACATTTATTCATTTTGCCATTTCTGTAAACTAGGGCATTCATGACTGTTACATTGTAGTAGTCATCAGCTACTCCCAAAAAGTAGTTGACCAGTTGATTAATTGTGGGAGATGAATCTTTTTTTGTTCCAGTCCATGATATGATTATTTCTTTTGCAGTGATCTGATATGGCTGATTTGAGGTTCACCTGCTCTGCTTTTTCTTTTAGTGATCTTTTGAGACGTCCTGCCGTTTCCTTTTCACATTCTTTTTTATGTTCTGTTTTTCTTGTATTGAAGCTTCTTCCTGTTTTTCCTATGTATGTTTTTTTCACATGTTATGCATGGGATTTCGTATATTATGTTACATTTTTTGTAAATGTTTATCCTGTCTTTTGGGTGAACTAAAAGCCCCCGGGATACTACCAGCTGATAAAGACACGTCATGACGCACATCAGATGACGCTTCTGAAGAAGACTGAAGTGACAGCCGAAACATGTCAAGGTAAACTACATCTCCTTAAAAACTCATTGTCTGGTAAAAAGAAACTTTCTATGCTTAATCTATTTTGAGTAGACAAAATGAACCTAATTACACTATTAGATGTTTTATATTGTCACATTTACTGGAAATGACATATAATATAGCCAACAGTAAGCGGGTTGTCATCAGCGATGGTGATTACCAGAAACTTTCAGCTCGAGTTTACTTGTTTGCAGGTCGGGTCTGGGTCATTGCCACTGGTCAACAAATCCACGTCAAACTTGTGTAATGTCGACCGACTAACTTGGTGAACACCAAAGCATTGTAAATTCTGTTACAGCCGGCAAAATATCTCCACTAATTAAATCAATGCTCTAGGCTACTTTATAACCGCAGTGGTCAAAGCAAGGGACTAATGTTTGGAAATTAATACATTCACTTATTGTATTTCATCTGAATTTCTGACAGCAGCTGTGGAGAAGCGAGGGGTGGACTGAGAAGTCGTGGACACTATCAGCAGACACCCTTTCACTCAAAGCAGCCCACCCTTATTTATGTGTGACTTTAACCTTTAAAAAAGGGGTGAGTTATATAAAATCCAATGACAGATCATGAGTTGTGCTATAAAGCAGTAGAAAAGCTTGGTTTGTTGACACAACATTTTCTTTTTTCTTTTAAATGCTTTTAATTCATAGTACATTATAAGTCCTAAATAGCTGCAGTACTTATTCATGCCAAGGAATATAGGTTGGTGTTTCTACAGTGTTGGTTTTGGGAGTCTAAGTGTCAGTGCAACAGATTACATTGAACTGCTGATGTTATTATACTATGACACTGGAGAGGTTGAATGGGGGTAAAGTACAGGCTCATATAAACATTTTGTTCAGATCACAATGTAAGTCATGCTTGCGCAATGTAAATATGTGATTAGGAATAACTAAGAGTGCAAAGTACATGATAGTGTATACGCTTTTTTATAGTAGCTGATAGATTATTAGCTGAGTTCAAAGTCTGTTGTGTAGCAGGCTGCTGCTTCATGCCAGATTTGGTTGTTTTGAAACAATGTCTTCAGAGAACACGGGACACATTTACAGAGCAGTTATGTATGCAAAACAAAAAAAAAGCCATTTGATGACAGTTGGACTTTAATAATAATTTCAACACTGCCTGCCAAGTTAAGCAAACATTGATATCACCATGATGGTCTGTGTAATCTGAGCTAAAACTACTTGACTGACAAGAACACAAACAGGGAAGCCACAGATCCCATCTGTTAAATGTCAACACATGATTCCACAATCTGCTCTTGATCCACTGAACAGTGTTGAGTGTTCAAGGTCATACAGTACACAATTTCTCTTTATTATGTGCATTGTATTTTGTATTGAGATTCAGTCCAACGTAGCTGCAGGTCATTAAATGACTTTTATGTCCCTGAAGGCAACACAGTGGTCTTATTGTGGAGAAACACTCAGGACTGTCCGGATGCTGTGAGGCAAAAACAAAACAGAAGTTAGAGGACTTGCATGGATTTATTCTTCATCTGCGTAGGTGGTTATTAAATTATGAATGGTGGAGAAAGTGTAGTGGAGTGTAAACATACCATTTGCCGTGCTTCATCAGTTCAATGGCATCATTGACCTGGGCCAAAGCCATGTTGTGAGTGATGAACTCATCCAGCTTCACCTTCTTGTCCAGATAGGCTTTAACCATCTGAGGCACACCATCCTTACTCTTAAATCCTGAACAACAGAGAGCACACATATGATAAATTGAGAGCAAATGCAGTAATACTGATTGAATGATTGCAGAGATCAATTGTGAAGCCTTTTGGTTGCTATCACAGCATAGGTGGTGGCCTTACAGGAAACCTAAATGAACTCAACCCGGTTTTGTTGTTGCTCATAATCAGGGACGTAGCCATTATTTCAGAAGTGAGGGGGACAAATTGTTTAGAGGTTTATTGAGTGATTTATCATCCTATCGCATTCAATTGCACCTCTCCTTAGCGGCTAAAGAACCACATAACCACAAACAGCCACAGTACAGCACCAGGGGACCAACTTTAGTTCTCTAAAATTATATAGAAATTTTTTCTCAGCCAGTTATAATCTCTCCTCACCTATGAGAACCCTGCATGATCATCCTTGCTGGCCTCTGGTCCACTGTCTCCTCCCTGACCCTGCTCTTTATATTGTGCCAATAAATATTAAAAAATATGTGCAAAGCAATAGTGAGCACAAGTTCTGCGCAGAAATTAAGGAGGAGTGGGTTTATTTCTAGCATGAAAGTAGCTAGCGAGTGATTTAACATAGGTAACAATAACATTAGTATTCTTGTTAACTAGCTTAACTTGATACATTGGCATCTATTAATTAGTCATCATTTAGCGAACATTATCTACATGCAACAGCATTACTCAACTTACACAGTTTGTTTGGAAGAAACTGTTAAAGGTTTTTTGCTTCTTGCTGGTTGGTTTACTGAACATAGTTAACACACAGCAGCACTGCCCAGCAGCACACGTCTCGTCTATGCGATTGATTCAGATCACAACACAACAGCAGGTGTATGCTGCCTGGCGCCGCTTACTCATGGTGCGTTTAAAGACGGCTCGAAAAATATGTTACCACATGTTAAAAACAAATTTAATGGTTGTAACGGCTATTAAAAGTGCGGGGGACAGAGGGCACAGATACGGTGCGGGGGACATGTCCCACGCGTACCCCGCGGCCACTATGCCCATGCTCATAATAGTACAATTACTATTAAGATCTGCCCTCCTGAGACTGACAACCTATCAGAAATGACAAATGACAACCTGTGACTGTGTTATTATTTCAAGAGGATGGACAGAATTGACCAATGGGCATCTCACCTCCAAACAGGGAGCCCTTCCATGTACGGCCAGCAATGAGCTGAATGGGTCGGGTAGCTACGTCATACATGTCTGTCCAGCCAACCAGCACGCTGACACCCCAACCTTTCACACAAGACTCCAAGGCACTGCGCTAGATGGAGAAACAGCACAAAGTCAGTAGGCTTGGAACCAGAGGAGTTTGAAATCTGCAGAGCAGCTGAGAAAAATGTGTGCTTTAACATTTAGATAACACTTGGGAAAGATTTTTTAATATAATGAGCCGTCTTGAGCCAATTAACATCAAATCTTTATGCAAACCTCTCTGTCTGCCTCACCATTACTCCCACATTCCCAACACATTCCAGGGAGTAGTCCACTCCTCCATTAGTCATCTCACACAACACAGCACTGATGGGTTTACTGTGATCCTTGGGGTTCACAAAGTCGGTTGCGCCGAGCACCTTGGCCTTCTCATACTTCTCTGGATTGATGTCAACAGCGATGATCCTCTTGGCTCCTGCAGCCTTGCAGCCCATGACTGCAGCCAAACCCACAGCTCCCAGGCCGAACACAGCACATGTTGAGCCCGGTTCCACCTAAAGTAAAACAGACTTTGGTCAACATGGCTCTTTAGGTTGGACTTATAATTCTTAAAACACTAGTTCTTCCTGAACACTGTGGTGTCAGAGACAGTATGTTTCATTTCTGATGTCAGATGTTTAATAGAGTGCTGTATGTGGAATTCGTTACTGTAGGTATTAGCCTTCAACAGTACATGTTGGACTATCCCCAACAGTCAAACAAACACCTTAGCTGTGTTAACTGCTGCTCCATATCCTGTGCAGATCCCACAGCCGAGCAGACAGACTTTGTCCAGAGGAGCAGCGGGGTCGATCTTAGCCACAGAAATCTGGTCTATCACAGTGTACTCAGAGAAGGTACTGGTTCCCATAAACTGCAGCACCTTCTTCCCCTTACAAGTAAACCTGGAGTCTACGGCTGCCATCACATCAACGCGATCAGAAGCCCTGAGCAGAGAATTTTGTAAAATTAAAATACAACTTAAAATACAACAAGAGATGAGAAGACAAAGATAAGCTCACCATCCTTTCTCACACTGGTTGGTTTTGGGACTCTTACAGAAGCGGCATTCTCCACACTGGGATATGAACAGAGGAATCACCTTGTCTCCTGAAATTCAGAAACAATGTTGCCATGTCAAAGGAATTAAGGGCACACTTTCAAGACCTAAAATCAAATGTCCCAACAAACAGGTTTGTTGGGCTGGATAGCACAAATAGGCCTTGGTCTACCCATTGCTAGCATCGCTGCCATAAAGTCTGACAGGGAAAAAAAAACAAGCTGTTAAACAAATTAAACTGTTGGTTGTAAGCCTTCACTGACCTGGTCGAAATTCAGTGACTCCAGGCCCAACGCTCTCTACAATGCCGGCTCCCTCGTGGCCAAGGACTGCTGGGAAGCCGTCTTTATGCATACCCTCAAACAGATGGTACAGGTCTGTGTGGCACACCCCAGTTGCAACAACCTGCACAGAGGACGACCACACTAAGAAAACACTGATGCTTGTTTCTTTTGAACAGTTGGGTATTGTGCTTTCTTTACAGCTGTATTCACAACTCAAATCATAGCAAAACAACTATAACTGCTGTAGACACTCAGGCCTGTCACCCATTTCTCCAAATGCCCAAGTGCATGTCTGGCTTACTTAACTAAAGTAGAAGCAAGCTACTACACCATCATCCGGACAAAGGCAAGCTAGCTAATGTTATGCTAATTGAATGCTGACAAAACGTCAGTGAATCATGCACAATTAATCAACCATTCAGAGGTTTGACATTAACCATGGCCTGTGGTCTGTGGCCATAAAAACTAGTGATGGCCTCATGAAGCCTCATGAATCATTTTCTTTATTTTCTGAGCCCACTAGATGGCGCTTTTTCTTCAACAAAAGGTTTAAAACACACTAGATTTCCATTCTTTTAGCCTCTCTCTTTAAACCAAGAGCACCATCTAGTGGGCTCAGAAAATGAAGAAAATGCTTCGTGAGGCTTCATTCTGCCATCACTAATAAAAACTGGTCCTTATTTTCCAGCATTTTCTTTTCATAAACTTTTCTGACCAGAATAAAAGTAAATATTAGCTTATAAAGCCTTAGTGCTGCAATTGGGCCAGGTACAATCACTGGCGGAGAGTCATCTTATTTATCCCCTCCACTGCAGATTCATTAGAAGACATTAGTGTGATGATGTCATTAAGGATTTTTGGTAAATGTAGTCTTAAAATCTTCAATAACCTCTTTCTATTACAAACTCTCATTCATAACCTTTACCCAACAGTGCAGTCAGACATCCCAGTGTGTATGTGTAAGTGGACATCTCTCACCTTGATGCGGATCTCATTGGCCTGGGGCGGGGCTACCTCAATCTCCTCAATCACCAAAGGCTTGTTGGGCTCCCAGGCCACTGCTGCCTTGCACTTGATGACCTACAGGGCGGTGACACCAGCATGAAGTCGCACATTACTGGGTGCAGCCAAACTAGGATGGGTGCTCTGCCAGTTTTTGGAAACCAGAGTTCCCACACTTCGTTAAGCATTATATTCAAAGACCTTTCAAGTACTTTCAAGGCCCACTTTCCTCTAATTCAAGGACTCAATACAGATCAAGGTTAATAATCAATAATGCAAGACTGAGGATTCTTACAATGAGAAGTAGCAAGCTTTACAGAAGGTCACAGACAACAATTGGCAGTCAATCTCAACAGAATTTGTATTCTTGCACAAAATATATGAATTCAAGCAATTTACATGACCCATGTCTGTTTATGTCTATTTTCAAAAGCTTTCAAAGCCTTGACGCCTTCGCTTCACATTTATTTATTGCATAGTAACTTAAGTTTTCATTTTTCTGACACAGCTGCTCCTGGGGAAGCAAATCTCACATGAACTGCAGCAGTTTGAAGTCCACAGAATTTAGTGTCACTGAGTAAACTGGTGAGTAAATTAGTTGTTGGGGGGGGGGGGGGGGGGGGGTTGTGGAGATTTTTTTAAATTCCTCTGTGGATCTAAAGTGAATTCTTGGACTTCAACCATGAGTTTTTTTGGCTTACAACTCCCTCACCTATGCCAATATCCACAGTTGCGCAAAACTGTCTGCATAGTTTCAAACTGTGTGCCGGGTCAAAAGAGGACTTGCAATATGTCACAAGGCAGAGGGGACAGAAATACAAAGAGATTACTACATTATTTCATTATCATAGTTTTTTATGTGAGTGAAATAAAACATACATGTGCAAAGAAGATTACATTAACACTGCACATGAGAGCACTGCAACATGTTGTCAGGTATCAGCTTGCTGTTTTCCATCCATCCACATTATGATACTTAAGAATCTCATAAAATGTAGGTTAAATATATGAATGTGAAGTTTGTTGCATTGTTTTCCAATGACTGATTTTCTACCCACTAGACCATAATACAATACACTGGAAATCATATTAAAACATCACAGTTGTACAGAAGAATACTCCCATACTGAAATATGTACCTACCTTACCAGCTGTGGCCATTTTTGCAGCAACGTCGAGTGTCGCAAAGTATTGAAGGTGTTGAGAAAGAAACAGCTGCGGGCCGGAGAGCGAGGAGGAGAGACCTTGGATTTGAGGTTTAAATACTGCTGCAAGAAAAAGCAGTGACGATTTGGATGGGCAGGGACTGACTGTTTGAGTCACTGATTATCAATAACTGTAAAAGCAACTGTTAAGAAAACAGAAAAAAAGGAACAGCGATGTCATCAGTTCCTGATACTCACATCAGGTCAACATATGTGGAGGCTGCAAACCATATGGTGCCTAAATCATGCAAATGCACTTTTTCAGACGACAAAAGAGTATCTCATTACTCTTATACTCTTATACCCGCCCTCAAGTGCCACCCACCTATTACCACCCTGTACTTTATAGAATCAGTCATTATTTAAGCAATAAGCCACAAGATTTACACAAGGTTTTGATTTACGAACACAATGCAGAGCTCAACAGATTAAAGCTGTCAGTATGCATTCTGTTAATTTTTAACAGGGGGGGGGACCTTTTTTTTCAGCAATGTCCCAAATTGTTTTGCACAATGTACGTTTTTATTAAAGTTTGTTGAAACTGCATGACCTGCAAGCCAGTATGCAGTACGTATACTCTTTCAAGTACCCCACTAATAAATATCATCATACAACATTTTTATATGCGTATATATATATATATATATATGATAAAGTGTCCATACTCACTTATCGATTTATTAGGTACACCAGTCTGAAGGGTGGAGAGTAAATAAAGGATGGGCTGCCTGATAAAATAAAAGTATTTTATCAGCTTATCTAGGTGTGCCAAAGATGCTGGCTGGGTCCAGACCTTTGAATCCACCCACTCCTCAGAGTTCCAGTTGACTGATTTAGCTGGCATAGTGACATGAAACAGTGGTAAAAAACTATCATTGAGCGCTCCGGGGGGACTCAATTAGCCAATCAGTACCATGGGCTGAACTCATGCCTTTGTCAAGCTGTTGTCAAGCTGTGCACTTAAACCAATGAGGAGTATTAACAACAATAACAAGCTCTACAGACAAGGCTGACCGTGGGTGTTAAAGTAAATTTAGTTTATGGGCCACATAAAGGCTAATGTGATCTCAAGTGGGCCGGACCTGTAAAACCATAGCAGAATAATCTGTAAATAACTCCAAATGTTTCCCTTTCTTTAGTGTAAAGAAGTACATGCTAAAAACATTCATCATTTTCCAAAGCAGATGATGAACAGTCTAAGATGTCTTACAAAATAAATTTGTGCAGTTAGTCTACCACTCACATGTGCATACATTCCCACTCCTGTGTAGTGATGCTGGCATCAAAATCAAAAGTGGAAGTTGTTGAGGAAGCAGGTTAAGGTATCCTTTCCTCACAAACCATTCACAAATCTAATGTTTTGGCAGTGCCTAGTTGTAGGATTCCACCAATATTGTTTTAAAGGCCCTGACACCAAGCCGACGGTTGCCCATCCTTAAATGTGGACAGTCAGTGGCTGTAGCCCTAGTCAGTTGCCCTTCTTCGGGTTTTTTTCAGCTGATTCAGTATGTCAAATTGGTGGCGGTGACGGAAGAACCCATTGGTGAATGAAATCACTCTGACTGGCAGTTCAGCTCAGCACAGGACAAGTGAAACGGAAGTGAGGATAGTAAACAAACAGCTAAAGTCAAAAGGGAGGTAAGATTATTTTTCTTTAGCCATTGAGCGCTTTAGCAGAAACATTTCCTGATAGTTTGTGTTATTGTTTACTGGCACATGGTAAATATGCTCTGTTCTTTCAACATTGGATTGTGTTGTTAATGTGCTAACTTGCTAACTTGCTAACTAGCGTCAAGTCTGTTTAAGTTGGTTCATGATGAATACAGACTACTGGCTTCTGAGCATAGACCGTGGAACCGGGGGGGCCAGGGGGGCCATGGCCCAGGTAACTTTTGTACTCTGACATAGAGGGCTGCATTGGGATTGGGCCCAGCCGGGTCCCCATTAAACAGTAGAAGAAGAAGAAAAAGAAGAAGAAGAAAATGTAGCCTAGCGACAGGATGTCAACACAGGAACTTGGTGCACGTGCATGAGCATTTCCACATATTTATTCATAAATGGACGAATATGCCCTGAACCAGCTTTCATACCAATTTGCCACTTGCTCCACCTGTCTGTCTGTCTGTCTGTCTATCAGCTCCATCTGTCATGAGACAAACATGAAAGAAGACGTATTATTATTTGTATCCAGACCAAAAGAATCATTTCCAGTTATAATATACGTCATACAAAACTTCGGCTCTATATCAGGATATAAAATAAATTTTGACAAATCAGTGGCCATGCCATTGGGTGGTGAAGACCCACCATACTGGCTAGACTCTCCCTTTTCTTTATCTACCTCCGGATTCACATATTTAGGCATTTCTATTACTCCTAATGTCAAAAATCTTCTTAATTTGAACTTTTATAATACACTTAAAAATATTAGAATTGACTTGAATAGATGGTTTAACCTACCAATTTCATGGATGGGAAGAATTAGTTTGATAAAAATGAATGTTATGCCTCGACTCCTGTACATTATGCAGATGTTACCATTACATATTACAAAGAAGGTAGCCAAAGAGATCGAAAGAGACTTTTCATGGTTTATTTGGCATGGCAAAAGAGCTAGACTTAGTATGAAAACTTTGCAACTACCGAATTACCGATTTTGGTCGGGGGGAGGGCATTCCCAGACATTTTATATTATAAATGGGCCTGCCACAGTCTAACTATATATGAATGGGTTCACTGCTATTATAAAGGTGGACCAGAATCTATCGAAGCTTGGGAATGTACCCCTCTGGAACTACTGGGAGAACTCACAAGTATAAAAAGACCTCCAGTTAGAGCAACAGATAATCCTGGACTTAGTAACTCATTTAAGGTATTTAAGGAAATTGGTGACCATACAGGCAGAAAGAATGGAGTTTCTCATCTAACCCCGCTTGTAAATAATAGGAACTTTCCTCCAAGAATTAGGAGCAGGATATTTCAGTCCTGGTTTGATAGAGGTATTAAAGTGATAGGAGATCTGTTTGAGGATAATGGTGTTCTTATGTCATTTTCAATGGTTAGAGACAAATATGGTGTCGATGAATTTTTTGCTTACCTCCAGGCTCGTAGCTTTATTAATTCAATTGATAAATCTTCTCAGATCAAGACTTTGTTAGGGCCATTCGAGAAATCTATCATACAATATAAGAAAAATAAAGGGTTCATTTCATATTTTTATGATAATTTCGTGAACGACGACCAGCAAAATATAGATAAAGTGATGGACCGATGGGAAAAGGACCTTCAAACGAGCTATGAAAAAGAAAATTGGAAAGAATGTATCCAAGAAGTTCACTCTCTGTTTTTATGTAATAGATTAAAAGAAATGCAATACTGGATACTACAGAGACAACATATAACACCACATATCTTAAGTAGAATTGATTGATTGATTCCATGAGTAACTATGCCAGAAAGAATGATGAGGATTCATTCATAGGTGGCGCTATACTAAGCATTTCAAAATGAAAATTTTGCTTTTCTTGAGGTTGTGTGTATGCATGTTATGTGGATGCATGTTGTGTGGATGCATGCATGTATGAGGTTGCAGCTATTATGAATTTGCACTTGTTCTTAATTTAATGTGAACTGTGAGTGTGTCTAACTGTATTTTTCTTAATTTAATACATATTTACATTTTTAAAATCTTGTAATAATCATTTAAATATTTTGATTAATTTTATTGAATAAATGGTTGCTACAGCAACTAGGGTGCGTTTTTGCGATGTCCCAATATCTAGATTTGTTTGAAATATATCCACCAATACATGTACCAAATTTTGTGCTTTCATCACAAAATGAACGATTGTTGTGATATATTGACCTAAGCCACCCCGCTATGAGGCAAAGTAACGGAAAAAGAGCATGGATACCAAGAGGCGAAGCTCAATAGAATGCCCATAGCAACAGACTCGCCCATGGTTTCGTCCTACCGCCGCCATTTTGGACTGTCAGCAGACCGCAGCAGACCCGCTTGCATACAAAAACACACAGACAAACTGAAGTATATCGCTATTAATTATGCTTACAATACTCACTTCATGATAGCTTGGTCACAGTTGCTTTTTCACGTTTTTGTAAAGCAAAATATAGACTTTAAAAAAAAAAAAAAC